TAAAAAAAATATTTATTTATATTTTTTTTTTTAATTTTTTATTTATTTATTTAATTTATTTATTTTTATTTTTTTTTTTTTTTTTTTTTTTTTTTTTTTGCTGCTGTGGGCAGTGAGCCAAATTATTGATATCAATAACTTAGTGAAAAACGATCTGTCTTGAAGTGCAGGTAGTCTTGTCAAGCACACACCCTACGTCTCTTTGAATCTATGTTGCTTTGAGTCTTACAAAACAAGTTAAGCTGCTGAAATTACATTAGCCCTTCCTTGGAAAAGACAATGTTTGTTTGAAATTCAGATAAAACCCTCTCTATCAATGCTCTATTCTTGCATACACCTGTCACTGTTAGTACCACAGATAATACATTTTGTTGAGAAAAGAGGTTTTTTACCAGATTGTCTTTTATCAATTTCTGTTTTTCGTAAAAGCAGTCTTGTACATAAACACGTCTAGTCCCAGAGCGCATCCTCTGGTTTTCTGTTGGATTTAATCTGTCCTTCTTTAGTCTCATGTCATATAGTTTTGTGTTACATGATAATATTTTTTCCAGGTTCATCGAACGTGTTAGTTATGGATCAGGATGGAAAAGCATTTTTTTCTGTCATGTTTCTGAGATTGGTCCATATTAACCCTCTGTTCTTAGACCTATTTTCTGTTCTTATTTTCTTGTGTTTCATAATTATCTACTGTTTAGTCATCTAATCGGTAAAATACAAAATGTCTAAACGTTCCAGTGGAAGCCACTGGATATTTTAACACTCTGAGCCTTTGCTAATTAATAAGACCAGATAATCCTCCCGAATATTGTCACATAATTTTGAATGAGTCTCAATTTCTGAGACGATCTTTATGTTTGTTTTCTAAATAAAAAATGGTCAGTATACAATCTGAAAATAACTTTGCTTTTCACATTGTTTAATAAACAAATAATGTATAAAACTACTAAGATGATTCGACTCTAAGCTTATTGTTTTAGCCACAAAAATCCTTCCACACATCTCATCTTCTGAACTCAATCTTCACTCCTCAGGTTTCAGCGTCACACTGCCGAGGCTGCAAAGCTGGAGGCTGAGGTGACTAAAGCTCAGGACACGATCACTGCAGCCCAGCAGCTCATATCGCAGCTGGACGGAGAACACACACGTTGGAATGCACAGGTAGCTTGATGCATGGGTGTGCTGACATGCGCACTGCTGTGGTGGGGGGGTTTACAAACGTACTCCGAAAGGGGCTCGTTTACCATGTAAGAAGCAACAGGAGCCGTCAGTGTGAGTGTGCGTGAGAGAGAGAGACATAGAGGAATGGATCCCGCTGCCTTGGGTCCCCTCTGGCTGTTTTTACTCCTCTCCACAGCATCTGTCTGCGCCTTAATTAAAACACTCAATCTCAGGCTGACACACTCACTCACTCACGCACACACACACTCCCACGCTCCCATGGCCTTTTTCAAGGCAGCAACTTTACTTTCTGAGCACGTATTTCTATACAGTCTCGCTTAAACATATGCACGTTGGCACTTTTTTTTTTTTTGCACACTCATCACTAACTGTGCATTGCTATATGTTAATTTGTTTAAGCTATTTAACTTTTTTCTCAAAGAAAGGAGACCTGTATTCAATTAGCCTAATTTTATCCTCCGTTATCATTTGGCCTACCACCAAAGTACTTTAAAGGAATCCTGATCAAAACAGAAGTGTGTTGCTGTCACTTAGCTGTCCTGCTTGGCTCGTTCTCTTCTTTCATTCTCACCTTTCTCTGCAATCCTTCCTCTGATTTCTCTCAAATCCCAATTGTGCCCAGTGTTTCATACTTTATTAACCTGCTCCTCCGTTTGCTCAGCAATCTTCTCTGTCTTGTTCGTTTTTGTTTCAGATGTCTGAGATACAGAATGAGTTGGACACACTTCCTCTCAGGGCTCTGCTTGCTGCAGCCTTCATCACCTACCTGTCTGCCGCTTCTGAAGATCGAAGGAGACACTGCCTGGATACGTGGATGGCTCAATCTGGATTACAAAGTAAAATACAGAAATTGTGCCTGTAGCATACTGTGACCACCATATGTATGAGTCGTGTGCTTACAATTCGCACAAACGCTCCTCCACCCACACATGGCCCAATGCCCTGTGCTGATTCTTATTGTGAAAGTACTTACTATGCCTTTACTTGTTTAGCAATAATTTAGGAAAAAATAACCTTTTTTATTTGTCAAATTTGATTGATTTTGCGTAATTTTTTTTTTTAAATTTGCCTTCTTATTCTGTTTTATAACTGCTGTCTGATCTACTTACACGAGACACTCATTCAAGCATTTGCACATCCTTTTGTTTTATAATTAATTGCTAGTTAGTTCCCAAGACTAATTATACTCATAGCTCAAGCACTTCTGTAAAATATCGGGACCGCAGTGAATGTAAATGAACATTGACAATTACAGTAGAGTGTTTTACTAGTTTGAATTGATTAATGTTCATTCTGTTTTGTGTAAAAAAAAAAAAAAAAAAAAAAAAAAAAATTAAAAAATAAAACAAATACCATGTGGGGTTGAAAAAAAGGTTAAAACTTTTGAAAGAATGGACGAAGAGAATGAGGAGAGAATAATTCACACATTGCTAAAAATGTTTATTGATATGTCCATTTATGAATTAATAATTTTCCTTTGGTGTCTGGATGAAAAACAAACTAAGGTAATCTAAGAAATAATACTAAACAGGGTGTATCATGCAAAATATGATATTTGTGAGCTTAATACCATTTCATAATGTTACTACCTCATCAAAAACACACATGGAGTGTTACTTTGATTATTTCCTGCATGTTTGAGAAATCCTTGAATCTCCACTGGGTGCCTAAATGTGTGCTCATACAATGCAAAGCCTATTTACCCTAAACCCCTGCATTGGAGCTTCAGTCCCCAGCTGAGCATACCTCCCCTGAGCCTCCCCCACTCAGCGTTACCAGACTAGCACTTAGCAAACACCTGGTGGAACTGCAGGTCTGCTGAGCTTCTCATACAAACGACAACACCCCTAAGAATGACTGTGAACAGAATCAGTGGAGGAGCATTATTGCGATGACCTGCTGAAGGAGGGAGTGTTGGGAACGAAGGCTAGGAGGTTCTTAAAGAGACAGAGGCTAATTTTTAAGGCATTAGGTATGGCTATGATGTGGAGTCAGTTTTTTTTTTTTTTTTTTTTTTAAGATCTACTGGTCTCTGCTATAAAATAGCTCTGTGCGCCAGGAAAAGACTTAATAATGCTCCTTTATAACAACAATAGCATTAAGGTTTAAACAGAACTAAAACACGCAAACTGTAGCTGACGATCTCTATTTGTATCTGTCAGAGTTTGACTTGCGATCGTTCCTGTGCTCGGAGAGTGAACAGTTGATATGGAAGAGTCAAGGACTGCCATCAGATGACCTCTCCATGGAGAATGCACTGGTTATTCTACAGGTAAGACAAATACTCCACCATGTTCTACGGGCTTTTGGTTTAATAAAATAAAATGTGCATGTTTATGTCTCAAACATCAACAGCAACAACAGTTATAAACTAGGTTGTCTCTGAATGGTTATTTATTTTTTGTGAAGTCGCAGTAATATGGGAATATCATTGGAAAATAAGTAAATCTAAGAATTAAGCATAAATAAAAATGTAAAGTTGTGTCGCTATTGCACAGATAAACTAGGACTACAATTATGGTAGTTCTAGCAATCCAAGCAGAATGTGGTATTTTACTCATGACAAGTTGGATTTGTTCCCTCAGTCAAAGAGGGAACCGATAACGGACTTGTGATTTTAGTGTTGTGAAATATTTAGATTTATCTATATACATATTAAAACAGAAACTGAAGAACTTAACAGTGTTTGTACTCTTTGAAAAAGGAATGCTTTCATCATTGCCTTTCACCTGTCCTCCATTTGCATGTATTTATTTTGTGTGTTGTTTCTACCATTGCTGCCTTCAGATTAATACTCTCAAGTTACAGGTAAGACGTTGTCCCCTCATTCACCCCCATTTGTCCACATCTAGTTTCTCTTTTGTCTCTCATGTTTTTGTCACCATTAGAAACAGGTATTTTTTGCTCTTTATGAGGTGACATATTGTTAGTAATGTAAGAAAGGGAGGACATGTTTGTTTCATTTAACATAAATCTCAGCTGATGTAAATTTCCCCATTTAATGATGACATTTATTGACATTTCGGGGACACTTGTTGGTTTTCTTCATTGCAGTGACTGAATCACCTGATTGAGCCTGTTTTGGTACTCAGAGCTGAAAGCACTAGAGTTTTATTTTCAGTTTGTTTAAAGTTTTTTTTTTTTTTTTTTTTTTGAGTATAATCATCTGCTATCAAATCCGTGACAGAAGCACCGTTTTGTCAAAAAATGTTATGCATATGAAGGTAATTAAAGTGTGGCTATATTTAATTTGTCTTTAGTTTATGAGACTTAAAAATGTTGTATTGCGTCAAATTACCGTTTTTTCTTTCTTTTTTTCTCACCTTTTTATTTGGTTATTTCAGAAAAAAGAAAAGAGATAACTAGTCTCCAGAACAGATGTTAAAACTGAGGCATAAAACTGCAGAACTGACATGAGAACATTAACCTTCTTTGACTTGACGATTGTGATGTCATTCAAATAGGATGGCAGCACTGTAACAACATGATTCATGAATTCACAATTACATAACCCTTTTCCAAATAATTTTGCCTTATCTTAAAACGTGGTGTTTTATGTTTCTCTCTTGTCAGAGTGTTGCTTGTCCATTCCTGATTGACCCATCGTCCAGAGCCACAGAGTGGTTACGCACACATCTTAAGGAACAGAGGCTTGAGGTTATTAACCAGCAGGTAAAAATTCACCAAGTGATCCAGTTAATCCTTGATTTTTTTGTCCACCCCCCTATTTCATCTTTCCAGGTTAATCTACTCCACTAAGGCAATATTTAGGATATAAGTTGCTATAATTTATGTAACTTGGGGTATCGAACACTTTTGTTACACACAACAACAACAAAAAAAAAAAAAATAGAATAACTAAAGAATTTTGAACTTTATTTCTTTTACTAATTGAAAATAAAAACAATTAGTGTTTTATTCAGATTTTTGAGTGGTAGAGAGCGTGCGCCCCTCATTTACAGCAGGTTTAGTTCTTGACGCAGCCGTCCTGGAGTCCTGGCCTCGATGCCTCTGCTGCATGTCTTCTCCCCTTTTCCATTTTCTCTCTGATAACTCTTAATAGAGGCCACTAGTGGTTTTAATGTTTATGTGTCTGCCTTTCCAGGACAGCAACTTCATGACATCAGTGGAGCTGGCAGTAAGATTTGGTAAAACGCTTATCATCCAGGAGATGGATGGTGTTGAACCTGTGCTCTATCCGCTCTTGAGGAAAGACCTCATAGCTCAAGGTATTCACATCCACATACTGATGCGTTTCTACGATGTCTGCCTCACAATCTTCCTGTAAGTCAGTAAATGCTTACATTTACTGACTTAAATGTAAGTCATTGATTGCTTGTAGCTTCAATCAATCAATCAATCAATCAATCAATCAATCAATCAATCAATCAATCAATCAATCAATCAATCAATCAATCAATCAATCAATCAATCAATCAGTCAAGTTTATTTGTATAGCAAATTTCAGCAACAAAGCAGTTCAAAGGGCTTCACATCATGAAAACAAAAAATGAAAAACCATAACAACAAACGGTCACCAATTGAAAAATCAGTGACACATATTACATTTTGTTGAGTGTCATCATCAGAGTCATGTTGGTCAGTGTTCTTTATTATGGTTCAAAAGCAACAGGTGGGTTTTTAGTCTTGATTTATAAGAAAAGTTGCTTAACAATTCTTATGAAAGGAGACATCAGGCATACAATCAGAAATCTGTAATTTTCTTTCTACTGATAAAACTTTGTAGTATTTATTTTAGTAACAGTATCTAAAACATGTATTGTTTGTTTAGATGTTACACAGATGCACGCGTGGAGGTAAAACGACAAATAATGAGGATCATTATTTGCTGTCAATTTTGGGTCAAATATAAAATTTGCTGTATGAAAGTGATGGGCTGTGCCCTTTAAGTGCCCACTCAGTGATTTTCCAAACAGCTATTTGTAATATGTGTAGTAAAATCTAACCTCCCGAGAATAAACCTCTGCTGGCAGAAATCTCTCTGGACATCAGATAAGCCGTCAATGTTCTTTTGAGTTCTTCCATTTTTTTTATTACTATAAAAAA